GAATCTACGTGATACTTAAAAGATGACAGAATGTCCTTTGATGAATCCCTGTGATTATCTCTCCATAAAGTCATTTTTGGGCAATTTATTTTGTTTTGCTTTTCCTCTCTGTCTTCGGTTTTCATTCTGAAGAGCACTTGGCAGCATTATTTGTTATGTCTGTCTGTCATAGTAGGATTTCCAGGGTGTGAATTGTGATCCTTTGTGTTTTGCATGACGACATCACAAGAGAAGGGCTGTACATGCAGTCCGAGGGGAATCTACAATGCAGAAGAGAGCTCATGCAGCATTTTTTAGTGAGACAGATGGATGAAGTTTACCAAGCATATGACAGCTAACGCCCCCAGAAGGGCAAAAAAAATCCCAACAAAACTGCAGCTCTTAAATAAATGTTGGCTGTACCACTCCCACTCCGCTATTATTTGTTCACTGAAGTTAACATTTCTATTAGAGGTGAATTATGCAAACAAATTAGTATTGCTGCTATGATCATTATAAATGCCATCCCCTCGCTCTATGTAAGAGCCACATTTTCCCAACTCTATCATAGATTATAGATGCTGGCAGACTAGAGAATGGATCGAATATCTAATGTAGCTCTTTGCACTCCAGTTAAATCATATCCATTGCTTGTAATGAAAAACATGATCTTAAATCTAAAAACATTTTGTTTTATGGTGACCTTTACTGTTAAATGAGTAATAAGTAGACATTTGCTTTAAAATTAACCCAAATGACTATTATTTTTCACTCTTAATGGAAGTAACTTTCTGCATAAACAATCGTCTTCTCCATCAATTACATCTTTAAAAGTGTGCTGGACTACTTTTTAGCCCATCAGCATATAAGAATATGCTGGGTTAATAAAACAGAGTGCAGTATTGGGAATGAGCAGCAGCCAACAAACATGGAGGCCAGCAAGAGAAGCGGACCAGAAATAGTCTCAATAACACCTAAGAAGTCTCAGCATACTTAAAAATATTTGCCCTACCTGCTGTGGGTGAATCATCTTCACTTGCAATTTTAAATTTAGCTTGTCCCCGGCTCTCTTAACCTTCATGGCACTCTCTGAATCATAGTACATGCTTACTAAAGAAATATGACTGTTATGAAAGGATGGCAGGAAAAGAATCACTGCTTACAGTTTGATTCTGTAAGACTGAACTTTTTTGGATTTCTTGCAAAACAACATGTATTGTGCAAAACTTCTACCCTTACTAAATAACACTCATAATGAAACATAGTGAGGCAGCTTTGTGTTGCATATATACTTGCTCTGCTGAAATGATAGGAAAGCTTAAGTTGATTCAGTGCTGTAGTCTAAATTTATTTTCAGGATCCCACATCCACTGGCTCTACTATCTCAGCCTAAAATAACATCACTATATGTCAAACATATTCGATGTAAAATTTTACATTCATGGAGGACCTTTCAAATGTCAGCTTAAACACATGATGCTTGCAGAATTCCTCCCTTTTGTTGTTTTTTTCCCCCATTGACCGACCATATCTGCTCCAAATAGTTTATACAAGTCAGGCTTAAATTGCTGGAGCGAAAAAAGTTGGTTTTAACATTTTCATATTTCATGGATAGGTTGTGCGGGTTTTTTTTTGTGTTTTTTTTTTTAACATATTCCTATATAGTTTACTTTTGGTTTGAAATTTCAAAATGTTTCCAAGATATGAACTTTGAAAACACTTTAAAAATTGTAAAATGATTAAATGTGGTTTATTTAACATAAGATCTCTTTCTTCAAACAAAGTCTGCTAGTTTATGACTTGATTTGTGATAATCACATTGATTTATGTTGCTTTACAGAAACTTGGCTGCAGCTAGAGGACTATGTGAGCATAAATGAGGCAACTCCTATTTATTGGAACTTTCATATACCCAGAAATTATGGGCAAGGAGGGGGAGTAGCAACAATCTTTCAGTCTGACATACTGAAACAGGATCATCATAGTGGGGGATTTTAAAATCCATGCTGACATTAAAGGTGATGGCTTAAGTGGAGCCTTTAATGCTATCTAAGACACTATTGGCTTTGTTCAAAATGTGAAGAGTCCCACACATGCTCATCTTTATACTTTGGACCTTGTGCTGACATATGGCATATGGCATATGGCATGTGTAAAAATAACAGTATTTCATCACAACCCTGTCCTTTCTGATCACTTTTTAAAAACCTTCAGGAATACTTTAACAGAATTCTCTTCCTCTAAAAGAAGACACTTTAGCAGATCAGTATCAGATAGTACTTTTTAAAGAATCTGTTTCACTTTATCTCACTTTATCTCTCCTCTGTGTTGCTGAGCAGTGCTGCAGAGTGGAAACTTTTAGTTTATCCCCCTTCACAGGTTGATAATTTTTGTTTATAGGGTTTCTAGTTCTCTTCGTGCTGCCTTAGACAATGCAGCCCCTTTAAAAAAGAGGACCTTTAAGAGTAGAAAGCTGGCTCCCTTGCTAAATGCAGAGCTGCGCACTCTGGGCCGGATCTATCAAAGGTTTGCGTGCATAAAAACGTGAGCTATTTCTCTGCGCACGCTAAAAAATGTACAAACTGATCTATCAACAGCGTGCTAAAAGGATTTGGTCTTTAAAACGTGCTAAATAGCGCCTCTTAACCTGAAAGCAATTTTGCTAACGGTATCTGACTCTATATTTAACACGTTTCATAAGAAGGTGCAAATGGTCTGTATGCGTAATTGCGCACACATGGCAGCAGTTATTGCCGCAAGAAGGAGACATTGAAATGAAGCAAGGAGACGCAGAGAACGCATTTTTTCACTCTGTGTGAATATTTTTGGAATGAACGAGGAAACGATCATCCAAACATATCGTTTATCCAGCATTGCCATTTTGGAGCTGCAATTCCAGTGATTTGCTCCTCACAGAGCGTCAGCTGTACTTGTTCCTCAATGCTGGTCAGAGGCATCTCATCTACTGTGCCCCCTCTTGTTTTGTTTGCAGATGTTTTGTTATATGCCAGTTTTTCTTTGGTTCGCCTTCTAATATCCTGGTATCTTTTTTTTTACTTCATCCACTGTTCGCAAGGTTTCACCAACAGCGTTTACTTTATTACAGATTTGTTCACATATAGCGTTCCTCTGTGTGACAGTCACACTTCTTTGCTGTAGCTCACTTAAATGTTTGTTGGCTTCATCCACCAACACCTCCATTTCCATGGGGTCGAATTTCCTTTTGCGCTTTCTGCTGTCCAAACTCGCCATGCCGCAAACCACAAAATGCGCAAAACCATCATTTAAATAGGGCGTCTCCAACAGTTTTGCACCTGCCACCAGTTACGCAATCCCTCTTGTTAAATCACCTGCAAACCATGGTTCAGCCCCTCGCGCAAAATTCCAGTTTGCGAGCGCAAATTACTGCACGCAAAATTGGATCTTGATAAATCCGGCCCTCTGAGGCAAAATGCTAGCTGGGAGCTAGTCTGCCTGCCTGTGTGTTTACTGGACGGGCCTGCCCATTACAGAGTGTGAGGGATTGCCTTTGAGTCAATGAGTTGATGCTATCAACTGGTTTTTCAAAGATTGAAAGCTTTGAATCAATTTGACTCTAAAGTGATTTGAGATGACATGTGTTGTGAATTGGTGCTATATAGATAAATTGAAGTGTATTGAGATGTGCAAAAATGATAGCAGCATGTTATTTAACCGACTATGGTAGAAACTGCAAATCAGCATAAATGTAACAACTTATTGAAGTTGTTGGGAGCTGTGGTGGTTATAGAGTCTTACAGTTGTTGGGAGGAAGGATCTGTGATAACGCTCCCTGGTGCATTTAGGGTGCAGCAGTCTGTCACTGAAGGAACATTCCAATTCAGCAACAGCTTCATGCTTAGGGGTGGAGACATTATCCAACGAAGATGTTAATTTAGTTAGGATCCTTTTTTTTTCCCCTCCTCCTGCACTGAGTCCAGAGGTCATCCAATCATACAGCTGGTCTTCCTGATTAACTTATCCAGCTGCTTTCTCTACAGCTACAGATAAGCCATTGCTCCAACAGACAGCTCCATAGAAGATGGCTGATGCCACAACAAATTCATAGATCTTCAAGAGCGCCACCTGAACTCCAAAAAACCTCAGTTTCCTAAGCAGGAAGAGTCTGCTCTGACCTTTCTTGTAGAAAGCCTCAGTCTTGTGCATCCAGTCCAGGTTGTTATTCAGATGATAGTGGACTCCTATAAGGTAAATATAGGAGTCCAATATCTAAATGTCCGTTCCCTGGATGTTCAACAGTGGGGTGGATCTGCCTCTGCGAAAGTCCACCACTAGCTCCTTGGTTTGGATGGGACTTGTATATGTAGGTGTGAAACAAAACTATAGTGAGCAATGATCAGACTTGTAGTCATATAGAGTTTTACTGATCTTCTAGTTACTCTTTATCAAACAAAATCACTCAAAATAAACAAGCTTGTTGTAAAGATGTATTTGATGTTAAATTTTTACAAAAAATAAAAGCCCAAGAATGCTAAAAGCATGCCAATATATTTATTTTGGATATTTTGAGGAATATGTGTTTTTACAACCTTTCATAAAAATAAAGTGTGAAAAACAAAGTTTTATTCCTTGACGTCCGCTAGCTCTAGAGCACTGTGAAGGGTTTGAATTAAAAATGGCTCTGAGGTTAAATGGAAGAGTGCAGTTATGATTCAGTTGTGCATAGTCTAATTTTCTTTTTTAAACCTATTATCTGTTTTTACATGTATGCATTTTATTTTATGGTCCAGACTTTGCCTTACAAACATGGTAAAAACCCAAATATTTCTTATCTTGATGTGTGTGGCATTTAATCACCTTTTCCAATATATTCATAAAGAGTTTGTAAAGAAAAATTATAACATCAGGTATTCTTCACACATATTTATACTAATGGGGTTTGCTTTTAATCTGGTCCTCTTTGCACTGTAGTTTTCTTTGCATCTTTCTGGGTCCTTTTTTTCCATCTTTTTAAACCTTCCTCTCTGTTGTGTTTTCTCCAGACTCTCCCAACAACAACATATGAATTAGAGATCGTGGCCAAGGACATGGCAGGAAGTGAGGTGGGCCTTACAGGAACAGCCACAGCTACCATCACCATCACAGACAAGAACGACCATGCCCCAGAGTTCACACATCCACTGGTAAAAACACTGTTTAATAAACCTATTTTGAATGTTGTTCTCCTTACTCCTGCCAATCAAATGCAGCTTCTGTAGATATTGGAGGAAACCTGAGTTTGTTTTCCCCTCTGGGGAGAAAAAAGGATAGTTAAAATACCTACTGCATTTGTTTAAGGACTTGGGATAAATAAACAGAACAAAAGCATAATATCAGTACCCTCTGGTAATAAGCTCTTGTAAATTGATTGGAGTACTTTGACATACATGGTTAAATGAAACAGGACAAAACTTTTCTAAGTGAGGAGCATGGAGACAGTTTGTAGTTCATTTGTTTTATAATAACATGACTGAAAAAGAAGAGAAAAAAGATGATAAAAGTTAATATTGATTTAAAATAATATTTCATAGGGTTCTCAGGTTTTTATTGACTCAATTTGATCCTTTGAATCAGATTCTAGTATGATTGGTTTTACACTTCTTGATCAGACTTTCTCATCATTGTTCTTCTGTTTGGTACCCTCACAGTGTTCGACTGAAAGCTTAAGATTTATTCATAAAAAACATTATTTTTACCTGTTAAGCTGTGTAATAGTCCGTATACCTTCTTTTGTTCCAAGATTTTCCTAAAAAGTTTACTGTTTTTTATAACATTGTTCACAACTAAAAGGAGACTGTTTTGGCTGCTGCAGGTTTCCGATCCATGATGTCATTTGTGTGTCTGGGAGAGAGATTCCTGGAGTTTGGAATGATCGTTCAGATCAAAGCCACAAAAACGTAATCAAAAGAAATTTTGAAACAAAATATATCATTTGTGAATTGAAGAAAAACCTCTACAAAGGATCTCTGCATACAATTAAGTATTACTTACTGAGGGGTGTTAAAAGAGAAATTATCAACCAAATTTAATTCCTTCATCTGCAATAAATGCTACTAACAAATAAAATTTCAGTAAGTTAAAGAGGGCAGAAAAATCCTGTATTGTTACACTGGCAGAGGTGAGCTGATTCACCTTGAGTAATGGTGGACAAACACTGCAGAGTCAACAGGTTAAAGCAAAATAGGAGTCATAGTGATCAAGTCATTATGTTTTGTTCAGTCAGCAAAGCTTAAAGAAAGAAATGCTAACAAGCTAAACTAAGTCATCCCAAGGCAAAGTGTGTAGTATAACTTGTTTTAAGTGGCTTCAATCGCCAATTTGTGCCACCACTTACAAAATTTGTCAAAGGTTGCCACTTTTTCCTTTTTTTGTTCCTCTTAATGCTTCTTTTTAATGCTGGTTGTGTGAAACCAAAGACAGAATTAGACCTGGTAGCCAAAGACCCCTCAGAACCCTAAGGTGTAGTTGTAACACTTGAGTTGTGTGTTTTTTAATGGAAATGCCCACAGCTGTTGTCAAGTTCCAAGACACATGGCACTTTGCCCCAACCAACCCTCCCCTACAGCCCTCCTATGATGCATTGAGGTGTCAAGGGAGCTTGTAAGGAGTGCAGCTCAGATGTAAAATGTTACAGCTCAGAGGGCTCGGCAGGGCCTTGTAGAGTGCACCATGTCCATGTCTGTGTTAATGTTCTCATTTCTCATTGGGGATAGACCCATTGAACGGCATGGAGAAATGGAGCTTTTATAAAACAAGTGTTTGAAGACGTTAAGCTCCTGAATAAATCCTCCATCCTCCACTGTCCCTGACTGCCTTTAGCCTCCCCATGAATCTTCTTTGACCTCTCAGACGCCTGTCATCTTACTGTAGGTCTGCTTTTTAGTGTATAACGTCCATCATGCTTTTTTTTTTTTTTTACAAATTAATAAAAAAATAAATTTGTCCTGTCATGAAAAGCTGTAATCTGGCCACATTCAGGTTGCTGTATCCACCACCTCTAGAGTGTATTTCACTTTCTTCGTACTGAGGATAAGTCAAACAGATGTTGGAGGTAGAGAATCTATAAAGTCCTGCATTAAAAAAAAAAAAAAAACTTCAGTTACATAATTCCTTATCCAGGTACATTATTGTTGAATCCCAAAAAGAAATGTCATATTATCAGCTTGAATAGCTTTCAATTAATTATTCAATTATAACAGAGTTGCAAAAAGCTAGAAATTAAACTTTAAAAGACTGTGGTCAGCTGTTCTTAACAGAGCAAGTTTATTGGTAGTTTTATACAGGTTTCTTAAATCACCAAAAGCTTTTAGTATGTTATGTTTTCATTAAGAATTATCCTCCAAAAAATTTATATTATTTTAAGTAAACCTCATTTGATTTGGAAATTAACTCAATTCCAGTAAAATCCTATTTTAATGCTTAGGTAAGGAATGGAGTCACCCATTTTTTCACATAAGGGATTCATTATCTAACTTGTTTGTTGAAGTGGATTTCAGGCCAAAACAGTAGTGACAAAGGTCAGAGTACTTTCTAGAAATTAAACATGGATTTTTTTTTTTATTATTATCTTTTTTGGTGACTTATTTTGCTGATTTAAAAGGCATATTCTGCTGCTATCAATCCTCTTGCTAGCAGTAGCTAGAGAGCATGACACAAGACAGACTCCCCTTTATTAAGGAATGCTGTCATGTATTAATATCATTTAATTTGGTGTCTATATCTTATTACTTGGCCCTCAGTTGGTTTTATTCTTATAAGCCCCCTATTGGATCCAATGTCTGCTTTGCATTTAAAGCTTAGGTGGCTTTTCCTCCTGGAAATAATATTCATATTTACTGGGGAGGCTTCTGCTATGGCTCCATTTTCTTTCTAGTGAGGTTTTAACAATGATTTTATCACCAAGGTGTCAGAAAAAAAAGAGTTATGTATTGTATTTGAAGTTATAAAAACATCTGTCTTAGAAGCCATTTCCTATTTATCTTTGCTTTTTGCCTCCAGTTTTAGATCCAGTGTTTCTGTAATTTTCTTTCTTCAGAGAGAATCAGGAAATAAGTAGATGTTGTTCCTCCTGATTCAGAATCAGAGCACAGATGTAGAAACTCCAGCACCTTTTCACCTTCACACATTTCAGCTCATTTCATTCCTCCTCATCCACCAATATCCTGATCCCCACTTGGGTCTCGTCCTCAGCTCTGCACAGCTCGTCTCATCTTCTCTCCTTCCCGGCTCTGCTAATTCTGCACCATGTCTGACTGGGCTTATATGCTATTTTTCTCCTGCTCCTCATAACAAGACCATGATGGACCTTATCGCTGCTGTCACTCAAACTCCCGGGCTTCTGAGTCACTGTATTATTTTTTCCCCCACCCAGGTTTGCTCAGTATTATCTTTCCATGTTTCTGTCGGTATTTCTCTCTCAGTTTTTCCAACACTCTCTCTTCGATGATGACCAGGGGAAATGCATAGCTGCGATCCATCTGTCCTGCAGGTAGAGATTTGTGTTGATGGGTGTTGTAACAGCCATACGGTACTAGGCCCTGTCAGTCTGTCTTGAGGGATAGCTTATGGGTGTTATGGATTAGTCCAGGATTGCGACTTTCTGCCCTTAGTGATATCCTCCTGCAGCTGGTCAAATATGTTGTACAAAAAATACAGGGTAAGGAAATGTTTCATAGGCTTAATATCAGACTACGGGTAACAGAAAAAAGACATTTGCACAAATTTGATTTTGTCTTTTTTTAAGCTGGCACTGACCAAGAACAACCCATTTTAAGGAAAACATTTCTGATTTAATCTAATGGTCATCTTTCAGTATCAATCCAAATGAATGTACCTAATTAATCATATTTACCCATACTTGAAGCTTTATTTAATCTTGTTCAGTTATCCATCATCCATAATTAGATATGTGTACACTTTCATCATTTCATTGCAAGCCACTGTGTAGCATAAAAAGGTTACCCTTGAAGGGTATCAGCAGCTAATCTGTTTCAGTTGAAGGAAAGCGCATTGCCTCTAGCTGCTTCAGTCTCTCTATAAATCCTGTTGAGCTCCAGGAAAGACTTGCAAACAGCCTGTTTGCTGTGTACATCCAAAGAGTCTGAGTGAAGAGTTTGAATGTTTAAACTACTGTATGTCTACACTTATGACCAGCATGGTTCATTCAAAAGGAGTTTCTAATATTAGATGCCTAGTCTACACATGCTTGTTAAAACTTGCATACAGCATATCATCACCTTGATTGTGCTTGCAGATCATTATATTTTAGTAAAGGTATTTCTAGTTTTACAGTAGGGGACTACATCTTTCAAAAGTTTAGAGTGAATCTAAACAGAGGAAATATATATTAACACATTCCACATGAGTTATAATCAGAGGTGTGGTGAAAATTTTAATCATGCAGATTTAGACACATGCATGTTGCAGGCATGTGAAGTGAGACAGCAGCTGTGATTGCATGCAGGCTTTGATTCTTGTTAATGCAAATGTTTTTAAGTGGATCATGGATATACAGTATAATCTAAGTAGATTGAAGGCACGTCTGCAGTGGAACTACCGGTAGTTCCATTTCCTCGGCAGTAACTCCTAAACATTGGAAGGAAAACAGCAGACAGTGACAACGTAATGGATGATGGTCTTTAGAATTTGTACTTCCAGCCATTCTTATGAGCACCATAACAGCCACACGTTTAACACAAAGCCAGATTTCCAGGTTGAAACTATTTATTTGCTGAGAAAGTCTTTCCTTACAATCATTTTGGTCTCCTCTGACCTCAGCCAGACATTTTACTCCAAACAGCTGCTTTTAAATGGATATTCTTCCTTCTTTAGGAAATAATCAGAAATGCCGAACTGTGATTGAGGGTTCAAATCCCTGTAGATCAATCAATCAGTCAGTCAACCAATCAATTAATTAATAAAGACACAATTAATCAGTCAATAAAGTCAATAAAAAATCAATCAATCAAAAGCTCCAAAGGGGGCACTTGTTGGCCAGCACATTAATTACAGAGCAGTCAGACGGGCAAAACGCTGTGCAACATATGTATTGGACAAAAAAATCTTTCTTTAAATTATATATTTCATGAAGGTCATTAATAAAAAGTAAATAACTGTGGGAACAAAATATTTCCACACTTGATAA